CCCGCCGCTAGGGTGCACGGCCTTCCAGAGACGAAATGCCCCTCGCACAACCTCACGCACACCGTCGTCCTCCGGACCACCACTGGATACGGCAGAGGTTGGGCCCTTTAAGCCCATCGGCGTGATAGGTTTTGGTGGGACACTGGCCTGACTGTCCGCGTGGCTGCCGACAGAGCCTTCGGACAGCGCGCGCTCGCGAGCCACAGGTGGGGATTGATTGGCTTCTTCGGTCGCTGCGGTATCCTCTTCAACCATACCGGGCAGATGGGGTACATCATCGAAGAAATGGCTGTGGTGATGGAATGTGGCGCTCACGGGCGAGTGGGAGATCGAGTGTACAACCGACGGTGGCAGGCTGGCCCTAGGCGAGATCTCGCCCAGTCGTGCTGCGAGTGTGGCAGGCGATACTGGATCTCGTGGTCCGGCGCGAGGACGGATCATCATAGCTGGCGGGATTGGGAGTGGCGCGTCAGGCGCTGGGATATGCTTTCCGTGATGTCTGGGCGGTGTGGGGATTGTTGAATCCGCCGTACCTGTGAATCTGCGTGAGGAAACCGGTTGACGGGGCGGTTAGATGCAATTCACCGTGCACCGAACTGTACTGGGCCCAATATGCGTCCTCCCCGTCGTCTCCGGCCTCGTCTAGGGATGCATCAACCTTGACGTATGCCTCCTCGCCTTCTCCATCGGGACCACCATACGAATTCCAGTAGGAGTCGTCCTCGTCCTCGCCCCCCGGCGACTGAGGGCTTATGGGATCCTCGGGAGACTCGTCCTCCAGATTAGCGGTAGACAATGCCTGTTCGAGGCTCTGACATGCGCCCTGGGGAAAGGGCATGAGGCCGGCATCGTGGTACTTCCAGCTAGCATCGGCGGAGTCCCAGTCAAAGACCAGACGCAGCCCGGCAGATCCAGTCGCGAGGATATGTACATGAGCAAACGTGTTCTCTTCATCCGCAATGTACGCCGTGGCGATTGAATGCGTAGAGTAATCTGCGGGCTTTTGCGGTAGCGTCTCGAGCAAGCGAATGACCTCTTCGCGAACGGGCTCTTTCCAGCAGAGATACGACGGAGCGTTAGATGGCTCTATCTCGAGAAAGACATGCCGCTGGTAGAGAGGACGAGATAGGAGATGGGACGGGACGGGATTCTCGAGTTCTGAAGGCGGTGTGATGTACTGGAGGATAAGCTGTACATGGTACGGGAGAATCGGAGAAGGCATCGCGAAGACCGGATGGGTGTATGAGGAGAAGGATCGGCTATTGGGCTCTGGCCCAGCCCTCGGTTATTATTCGAACACCCCGCATGTCCCTGCAGGCGCGTGAGCTCGCCAAGTCGCGGCATGTGCGGGGTAGCGTTTGACCGTCAGAGCCGCGCCCTTGACAAACTCTCACACTCCGCTTAGACGCTGACCACCACGACGAGCACGAGTGCGGCCAATCCGGCAATGCGTTCCTTTCTTACGGCTCTCCTCCTGATCCCCCTCGCCGTTTGGGCGCAGGTACGCTAGACTAGTCTGTATCTATGTCTTGGAATTGACAGATATTCTAGAGTCAATCCGTCTCGGTCTCTACCTCATTCCTCGTTACCAACGTTCTCACCGTCAGTAACGGCAATCGCGTGTTCGCCACAATATCCTCCGCAATACCGATCACCATCACCGCTGCTGCCGCAAGTAGTACCGGGAGCGCGACTGGGAGCGTGACGGGCAGCGCTGGGAACAGCACGGCCACTGGCTCAGCGTCGGGCAACAGTACCTCGAACGCCTCCGGCGCATCGAGCACCGCGACCTCATCCACCTCCACATCGCCGTTACCCACAGCGGTAGCATCCACCATCAACGGGGGCGGGGATGGCTACAATGGCGGGGCACCAACACCGGGAGCATCTGGCGCAAACGGCATGTACGGTCCGGACGACGGCTACCATGTCAGTGGCGCACTCGCTGTACACGCAGCAGCTATGGCGTTGACAGGCCTCGCTGTCGGGGCTGGTGCATGGCTCGTCCTGTTATGAGCCGCCCTGCCTATTTCTTACGGACACTTCATGCCGTTGCCTTGGGTTATTTTTGTATGGATCTGTGGACGGACACTGCTTTCGTCTCGTCGATGTCCCCTACACTCCCCTCACGGACCTCCGCTTTGCTATAATACGCTCTCGCATCTCGCATTGTCATCCATCTCATCACGAACAGTACCGTACTAGTATTTTTGTCACACGGCGTTAGAGCCTGGTTACGCGCGCGCTTCTGCCTGAGCCTGAGAATAATCGCGATCTTCAGAAGATCTGCCAGCCAACCGCGTCTCTCATGTTTCGTCTCTTGCGTCCACGTCCAGCTTTCAGACCCTCGAGATACTCGCCAGTCTCGCACTATATTACAAGAAAGATAATGTCCGACACGCAACCAACGAAGAAGGTGAAGCTCACCAAGGTGTGCAAGCGCACGCCACTTCCCCGCACGAAAACGTCTCGAACATGGTTTCCCTAGGTCATTGGAACACACAATGGTACATTCCACTGTGACGAAGCTCTCGCGGTGTATCTATTGCGCCTCACGAACGCCTATCGTGACTCGGGTATGTGCATATCCTATACTTTTATGCGAAGACCACTAAGACTTATTCTCAGACCTGAAGCGCACTCGCGATCCCGCTGTTCTTGACACTTGCGATATCGTGGTGGATGTTGGCGCAGTGTACGATGAGTCGAAGCAGCGCTTTGACCATCATCAGCGTGGGTTTGAAGAGGTGTTTGGCCACGGTTTTACCACGAAGCTGTCCTCGGCTGGCTTGGTCTACAAGTGCGTGTACCGGTGTGGTTTTCTGTCCCGTGCTGACGACGTGCAGGCATTTTGGCCGCGAGATCATCGCGAACCATCTCCAGCTCGCCTTGGATGATCCCAAGGTCGACACTTTGTGGTTGAAGCTGTACAAGGTACAACAGTCGCACATTCTTACCTTTCCATGTGGTGCTGACCGTCTGCGTAGGAGTTCATCGAGGGTATCGACGGCATCGACAACGGCGTGCAGCAGTACCCAAACGATATCCAGCCCCGATACCGTAACAGGACCGATCTGTCCAGCCGCGTGGGGTGGCTCAACCCTGCCTGGAATGAGCCCGTCGACAGCACCTCGGTGGACGTGAGTATTTTCTCTTCGGCGTACGATTGATTACTTGACTGAGCGCCACTGTGATAGGCTCGTTTTGACAAGGCATCTAAGCTTACCGGGGAAGAGTTCCTTGGCCGCTTGGACTACTACGGCAAAGCCTGGCTTCCCGCACGGGATCTCGTTGTGGATGGCCTCGACAAGCGCTTCAACGTCGATCCCAGTGGTCGCATCATCTTATTCGAGTCGTTCTGCCCGTGGAAGGAGCATCTTTTCGAGCTCGAGGCCGCTCAGAACATCACCGAGGCTCAGCAGCCGTACTATATCATCTATCCCGATGAGACTGGTGGCAACTGGCGCATCCAGGCTGTCCCTGTTTCGCCGGAGAGCTTCGCGAGCCGCAAGGCGCTCCCTGAGGTGTGGCGCGGCGTCCGCGATGATGCACTCTCGGAGGTGTCGGGCATCCCTGGCGGCATCTTCGTCCATGCGTCCGGTTTCATCGGCGGTAACAAGACCAAGGACGGCGCCTTGACGATGGCGAAGAAGGCGCTCGAGATGTAGATCCGCTACTGGTCGACCCCTTGCGCTCCCGATGAATGATTATCAAGACCGTTACTCACTCGGCGAAGGTCGAGTGAAGCAGGAGCTCGTCCTGCTTTCGACATATTGCTACGAGCATTGTGCTCGTCTGCATCATACAGACGCAACCACCATACATATTTGGTATGGTGTCCTACTTAAAGTAGGATGATGCCGATTTTAGGCCGTAGCGGCGTTTGTATGTACGATAGCAGGAACGGCTCCTTCAACGGCCCGGATCCTCTAGGCGATCTCTTCAACGAGTTCGCCGGCTCGTCTTGCGTAGTTATAGTTTTAGACGAGTCTGACGCTGCTACTGTCGGGGTGAAATACACACAATCCCGTTGTCATGTACAATGAACAAGTGGTCGGCTATTGATATTCTGAGATATTTGAGAGACGACGCGCGCGGACGAAAACGCTCCCGGCAGACTTGTTTCGCGCGTCGATGGTCATGATGTGCTGGAAAGGCACGCTTACAATGCTATCCAGCCACTGCTTGCCGTACACCCCGTGTGCAGGTCGTCCCTTCTAGAAGTACTATCTATATCGATACGCACAGCCGATGAGTGTTCTGTGGTGAGCGCGAAGCTTGCCGTACAGCTATCATCGTCATTAGGCGCTCGCATACGTCGCTCACTGCGCGGCCACCTTAACTTCCTTCTCTCCACCACGATCTCTAGCGGCCCCCTCTCTGTAATACCAGATCGATATGGACGAGCACACCCCCGCGTCAAGTGCTCCGGACAGTCCCCTCCCACCGCCTCTGCCGCCGCGCCTACCGCCGCGCCCATCTTCACAGCGAGTGCCCGATGTCCAGGCCATGCAGCCACCCCCTCTACCTCCTAGGTCATCTCATGCGTCGGAGCATACTGTAAAGACATCTTTGGAAGCTTCGCCTGTAATCGTGCCCACCGACGCTACCTCACCTGTCTCCGCTCTTACACCCGATGGGTCTCCTACCCTGGAATCAGCGCGAACACCCCCGACGGCACCCACGACTCTACCAAGCGAGGCACCACCCTCTGTCATGCTGTCAGACAACTCCTCCAAGCTTGATTTGCCGCTCTCCGATGTGAAAGAGCCCACTGAGGCTGAGCTGAGGGAGGAGTACGACAACCAGGAGATAGAGAAGTATCTGGCTCTATTCTCTGCGGTGAGTACATCGCAATAGTAATTTCAAAGGCATATGCTGATTGCCCTTCCAGATTACCGAGGTCAGGCTACCTGGTTCAACCGGACTGTCTCCAGTGCCTTCAACAGTGAACGTAGGTACCGGCGGTGACGATGATCTGACGGACGAGACCGCGGCCAAAGTAGATCTGTCTGGCCCACGTGCGCCTCCATCTTCTCTCTCGGAACGTATAGCGCGAGTGCGTACAATCATATCTACATCCAAGAGTACCCAGCTCACAATGGCGTAGGACTTCATACTTCCATTTCTGCCTGACAATACACGTCCACCACCTCCGGCATTCAGTATTGGTCGCTTGCGCGTCGCTGTACAGCGGATGTATGTAATTGCGGACATGGGCTATCTCCCTTTGGTGCTATTCATCATACGACTTGCGACCTGGAAAGAATTCGGAGTTAGCGCCCGATGGTGTGCTGTGAGTTTCCCCCATACATGCAGGTTTACCTGCGTCCTCATGATGCTAGGCATTCTGGTGTCTATGGGCGATGAATATGTTGACCCCATCCATCTTCGCCGGACTTCTATTCCTTCTATTGAAGAAGCGTATTGCGCCATATCCTACACGCAAGCAACTGCGGATGCACGTCGAGAAGATGGCAGATGCACAGGAATTTGGCGCATACTTCCAGGCAACACTTCTACGACCGTACGACGTTGGAGTTAAAGACGTCTTGTTGCTCGGGCGCATGCTCCCCGGTGCTTTCAGGAGACATGAAAAGAAGAAGTCTTCGAATGCGTCGGCATCTGTAGTCGACTTGCTAGACGCAAAGGCCGACGTACCACCGGTGGTCGTAGAGAATCCAGATGGTGAAGTAGAGGCGCTTGCGGATCTGAATACTCTGTCTTTGCTGGAGGTAGAAACCATCGCGCTTCGGGTGCTATCCGAACTGGCCGATCTCAATGAACGCATACTGAAGTTCGTCCACCTCTCAATCTCTCTGTATCCATGCTAATGTCATTGCACAGTCTATACATGTGGAAGAACCCTCGTATATCCAGCGCTTTCGGCTTCGTAAGTTCACCTCTCGATGCATGCCTATTACATGCTCACAGTCAATATAGATCCTGCTTGGGCTGTTTCTGGTGACCTTCCTAGTGCCGACCGAATACCTGATAAAGCTGAGCTTGGGGGCGGCTGGCTTCACATTCTGGCACGTTGTGCCGGTGATCATTGCTCTCGGGCCCGAGGGTAGAGATCGGTGAGTGATCTGTCTCTGCTTCGCGGATGCCTATTGACATACCTACAGCTTACCTCCACCGCTGGATGGAGTTCCAACCGATGCCGAGGTCGCTCTGGAGCTTATATCGAGGAGAGTTGCGCAAGGTCTCCCGGTGCTACCTCAGAAGCGGCGGAAACACAGGTCGGCATCGGCGATGTCCTTGCCTGGTAGTCCAGATCTAGACTCCCCAAGCATACGTTCGGTCGACGATGATAAGAAGCCTTTCAGTTGGTCTGCGTTGGGCGACCGCGTTGCCGAAGGGAAGAACTTGGCCGGTAACGCCAAAAGACTCGTCACCAACAAAACGGTCCGTGTCCTTTGAACCTCCTCGCATGCCTCGCCGCTCATATGTCACTAGGATACCCGCGCACCGGTTGAAACGAATGCGAAGAGTAAGTACTCAGCCGCATGTAAATGACGTCATTTACTAACCCCGAGGTAGCCTATCCAGCACAACACAAGCGTGGACCCGGGCTTATAACGATCACGTCGACACACCTCTACTTCACAATGCTACATTCCTCGACGCCGATCCTCACCATCCCGATCAGCGAGTGTACTGGCATCAAGAAGAAGGGCATGCTGAAGGGGTTGGCAATCACCTGGAGAGCTCAAGACGAACACGGAAACATACAAGAGCAGGAAGACATATTTAGGTGGGTAGGAGGGAGAGACGAGGTGTTCGCACGTCTGCTGGGTTCGGACGGTCGACGGTGGCAGAATCTGTAGCTGGCTATATGCTCAATATAGTAACATTGGGTGTGAACCACATGGCTCGGGCCACGAGGCTCGCGACAGCTTCCCAGAGACGCGCTGAGCATAGCAGGTAATGCGACTACCCTTTTGGGACGCAAAACACTTGCTGTCACCCGCCAGAATCAAGAGGGAGGGCATCGACCGGCAGGCTCTGTCCCTTGCTTCTAACCACGACCATCCAGCCATGTTCTTCACGCAGGAGCTGCTCTCCCGTAGAGACAGCGGCTTCGGCTTGCTCTGGTGCTCATGTCTGCCTGTCGAATCGTTTGACGCGCCCTGACGCGCCGCGCACCAGGCTCGCAGCCACTCTCGGCCCCAGGTCGAACCTCAAGAAGCTCGCCCGGCGTGATGTTATGAACGCGGACATATCTGAGCTCTGCGATCTTATCATCGAGCCCGCCGAGCCGCTCGCGCTTCGTCTCTCAAGTAACCTTCTAGTGGGAGTTGCTCGGTTCGTATTCTGTGTCTTCATGCGTCCTTCAGTGATATGACACGCCTCCAGGGTGTACAAAGGTAAGATATTTGTATACACAAGATGCTATCGGCTCATCTGACACGTTCTTGTAGTCAAACATGAGAACTTCGTCTCGGACATTACCGCCTTTTCGACCACTTTGAAGAAGGCCATTCAAGATTTAGCAAGTGGCGCGCTGGATCTACATATGGGACAGTCTACCGTGCGGTATGCGCGCGCGGCGTATAAGCTTCACCTCGCGATAGCTAACGCGAGATAGACCGGATACGGTCACGATGGCCGTTGATCCAGTCCTCGGGATAGGCATGAACTTCGACGACTTCTTAGAGGTACGTCATTTCGGGGCCGTCGCCGAGCGAAGGCTGACACAGACATGATCAGAGCTATGAAAGCGCCATGGAAGACGGTGAGCCCTTTGCATAACGGGTACCAGTCGACGCTGAGACGTCGCCAAATAAGGCTCTGACGATGAATACGGCAAGAGGAGGAAGCGCAAGGGCAAGCAACCTGCGGTCCCTATCGAGCAGCGCCGTGCCGACGCGCATACACTCGACGAAGACATCGAGCACCTGTTATCTGGCTCACAACTTCTCTCTGCATCTTTCGACCAGTCCTTTGTTCAAGGCTCATCATCTCAGCAGGACGGCGGTCCTGGTTTCGACGTATTCCAGGATCATGAGCAGCTCGACTTAGGCATGATTGGCGACGAGATTGCCGCAGAACTTGGCGATGACTGGCGTGCGGATCCTGCACCTAAGCAAGACCAGTAAGCTTTACACGCTGAGCGGAGTGAGTGTTGCTCACCGTACATCCTAAGGCCAATGGACATGGACGATCCCTTCGCTGTGCCCGGCATGGATGCCGAGGGTGGTGACTTCATGTTCGCGAACTTCGGCCAGTCTGACGACGCGACGACGGTTGCGCGCGGCGCGGGGAGTGTGGCGACGTCTACTCGCAAGAGGGTGCGTATTGTGTATTTGCCGCTGATACATCGGAGGCTGAAGTGTCGCAGGGGTTTGAAGAGTTGGAACTTCCTGAGCAGGATGTTGGCGGACCCGCGGAACCTCAGGCGCTCACGCCGCTTGGAGCCAGCCCTGCTCCAGCCTCTCTTGTTGATCAACCGGCGCAAGAGGCGGACCCGGAAACAGATGCACACGCACGGCACGATCGCAAGGCGAAGCGTGTTCGCCTACAACTGGATGCTCGCACCGAGTTGACCGACGAAGAGATGAAGGTACTTGAAACTCATGAAGGTTGCATTGTGTCGCAATTGATGCTATCATTTTCTAGAACGCGCGTGCTGCGTACCTAGAGCATCAGAATAGAGTACGCAGAGAGCTGGAAGTCAAGAGGCTCGAGAAAGAGACCGGCAAGGTTATGGACTTCTTTTGGAATGCCCCGCCCGAGTGTGAGATGGTTTCAACTCTGGCCCTCTCAGTCGTGTGCTCATGTCTTTGTCCCATAGTCCAGGCGCCCGCGCTCGCAAACATATGGAAGCAGCGCGTGAAGGTACACATCGAGGCGCGTACTGGCGCCATGCGTGTCGAAATGAGTGTGTACACGACCTTGGCGTTCCTGTATCTATGTAACCCATTTCTTCAGGCAATAGTCCGCCGCAGCGTTCCCGTGACGGATCTGCGAGGCCCGCAGGCGGAGAAGCTGGCGTACCGGGCTGGGATGCACCGGCTGAGGCGGATCTAGGCTTTGCAGGCGACTTTGGTGGAGGTTGGTCGCACGACCACCAACTAATGGACGCGTGCTGAACTTGCCTTTCTAGACTTCCCCGCTGACGAGCCCGTCGTCCCGTACCAAGATGATTATCAACAGTCGCGACGCTCATCCGAGGCAAGCCTTCGATGCATTGTCGTGTACGGGATGTTGACTTCGCCGATAGGAGCCAGGTCAAGCCCGTAGGGGATCGGCGCCCATGTCACCGCTGGGCGGCCAGTTCGATTTCAGTCTTGGACGTAATGTGATGGACCCGGCGTCCGCCACTTCAGCTTCGCAACGCAGCGCCGTCTTTCCCTGGGATCACGCCGGCCTGAGTTCTTCATCTGCAGCGGGCGGTCATTTTGATCCTGCACGCGACAGGATCAGCGTTGGCCACCGCGAGGTCCGTATGCGATCCAGTCCTGCGAGTGGTCCGCGCAGCCGTCGCGAGAGTTCCATACACTCGAGTCAACCTGGCGGTCGGGGATTCTCACCTGGCGCATTCGGACGCCTTGGTTCGCATGCTCCTGGTGAGGACTTTGAATTCGATATTCCAGAGGAAGGAGTCGCACCCGAGGATCAGGAGGAGGACACGCAGGGGGATGGAAACACGATCACCCTCGAACGTAACTCGTACAACTTCCTCGAGTATGCTCGCATGCAGGCACAAACCGCCTCGGGGCCCGATGGTCTTTCGTTCGACACCATTGTCCCAAAAGCCACCAGTACGCCACATGTCGCGGCCGCTGCATTCTACCATTGCCTCAGTAAGACTCAGCAATCATAGATTTGCCTCTTGCTGACATTGTCTCTGTCAGTGCTCGCAACAAAAGATCTTATTCGCGTGAACCAATCCGAGCCGTACGAGCCGCTGACTATCCAGATCAAAGGTTGAAGGACATGAAGGAGCGCACGGACGCTTTTACCTGCTATTGTACCTCGTATTATATCTCTTGTGCCCGCTTGTAATGCATGTACATATGTATCTTGATAGCCATGCTGGTGGTTCAGTGCAACATCAGAGCCGCGGGTATCAGTCCATGAAACGGACGTGCCTTTCCGGCCAATGATACGACTCGCGATATAAAGCAACTCCTGCTTGTGCTAAAAGCTTCCTTGCCTCTCGCCACTCAGACCATCCTTGCTCGGCTCGGCTCATTCCCATTCTCTTCTCCTACGTCCCAGCCTCTCAACTACGCCCAGAATCATGTCGAGCACGACGACTGTAACACTCCCACCTGGGCTTGCGGATATCGATCTTTCTGGGTACGATGCGGAGCAGTCGCGGTTGATGGAGGAGCGTTGTATTCTGGTTGACGAACAGGATCGCGCGTACGGCGCCGCAGACAAGAAAACATGTACGCTATCTACAGTCATTATTGTCTATCACTAGTATCTGACTGGAGTATGCTTGTACGCAGGTCACCTCATGGACAACATCAAGAAGGGCTTGCTACACCGCGCTTTTTCCGCATTTGTCTTCCGGCCGTCAGACGGCAAACTGCTCCTGCAGCAGCGCGCGACGGAAAAGATCACGTTCCCGGACATGTGGACAAACACTTGCTGTAGCCATCCGCTGGACGACTTCCCGGAGGAGAAGATCGAGGAGCACCAGCTTGGTGTGAGGGTAGCGGCGAACAGGAAGCTTGAGCATGAGCTGGGAATTCCGCGCAGCCAGACGCCTATCGATGAATTCCAGTACTTGACGCGGATACATTATTTGGCGCCGTCGGACGGCAAGTGGGGAGAGCACGAAGGTACGTATGGCGATGGGATCATGGGAGCGGGAGGCAGGCGCTGACGGTCGCCATCCACAGTTGACTACATCTTGTTCTTCACCGGCGACGTCGATGTGACCGCAAACGAGAACGAGATTCGGGACTGGAAATACGTCGACAAGGCCGAGCTGCAGGCCATGTTCGAAGCACCAGGTACGACGCTTCTTGACTTCCTCTTCCCAATGGGGAAGTAGACGCTGATGCGTGAGATGCAGGTAACTTGTTCACACCGTGGTTCAAACTCATCGCCCGCGATTTCCTGTTCGGCTGGTGGGATGAATTGTTGGCGCGTAAGGACGAGTCTGGGAAAGTGCGGGCGAAGAGCCTGGCAGGGTTGGTCGACGGTAGCAAGGTTGTGAAGATGGTGTAGCTGCTGTGTATCTATGTACATGGATCGGTGTAAATACCCCTAGAGTACACGAGCTGCTAGATATATCAGGTGGATTGATGGCCTAGACTGCTGGAAGGGAAGTTCCGAACGAGGACTGAACTGGCCGCCCAGGAGATCACTACAGCACTGCAACGAGACGAAAGGACCTGCTTATTTCCATCTCTCCTCTGTCCTTGATTTGAACCTGTGCGCCCTGCGCTTCTGCGCACTCTAGTCGCGAAAATGGTGTACTTCTCAGTGCCGACGTCAGAGGAGCCCGTTCTGCCGAGCAGCTCGCATCGACCTCGGAAGCGATGGGGTGTCCTGCCCGGCGCCAGTGGCCGCTACGGCTCCGTCGTCCTCTTCCTCGGCACCGCAGCCCTCACCGGCATCGTCTTCCACCTCCTCGCCTTCTCCGCCCTCAATCGCTATGCCGGCTCCTACAACGCGCCCCCGCCAGATGTGGAAACCCCGCACAGCAGACCGAATATAGTGGACTACGAGCCTGAGCTTGCAGTGCCACCGCCAGAAGAGCTCGCCGACGATCTCCCGGTGGCTGCTGTAAATCCTGCTACTCTTCCTCCTGCCAGACCGCATCGACCGGCGAACACGGAGGAGTGGGTCGTCTCTGCACCACGACCGGACTACCACGAGCTGAGCCTGGAGGCGCTGAGGGACCAGGTGGCGACGACCAAGGGATTCTTCGCGCGCGACTTCAGCCTGGGACTGGGCTGGAACAACGTGCGCTCCGAGCATTCTCCCTCTTATGGTCTTGGCCGCTCACGGCGTTCTTCTAGATGCGATACATCATCGAGGCTGCCGCTCTCCAAGCTACTCTCCTCAACCGTACCCTTATCCTACCAAGCTTCGTATACGCCCGTGCATGCGAGTATGACATGTGCGTCTCGTTTCCCGCTACCCTCGCATGACGCGTGTGACTGACCTTTCGACACAGCCATGTCTGCGCAGAGTACGCCACGATGGTCAACAAGGGCGACGCCATCGGCTGGGACGAATGGCGCGAGCTGCCTATCGAACAACAGATGGGCTGGCAACTTCCAATGGGCCTCATGCTCAACATGACCCGTCTTCGGGAAAAGCACTCGGTCATTCTCGTCTCGGACTACCTCCGCCTCCACGGCCGGCCCGCGTCAGATGAGCACTCGAACGGCGCTTGGCATCGGACGGACTACATCTCTACGCCGAACGTGTTCGAGGCGGACCAGAGCAAGAGGCCGAGCCAGTTCGTGGTCGAGAACCGGTGGTATGATCCGCAGGGCGTCAATCGTGTCGACTTTATCCCGCAGGAGATGAAGGTCCGCGGGAAGTACGATGAGAGGTTGAAGGATGAGGACTCTGGACGGCGTGGCGGATGGCCTGAAGAGCCCGAGTCTACTGTGTCAAGGCGGTTGACCGCTGCACTGCCGGAGAACAAGTACTACCTGGACTTCGCCACTGCCAAATCGGTTCTCCAGGACGGCGACTCTGGAGCGGTGTGGGATCTCAGCACGGACGAGAAGGTCATCGATCTCCTGCACCACAACGGCTGGGAGGTGCTCTACACCTTCCTGGGCGCTCTCGGTGCGGACTATACCAAGACGGTCGTCAACCCACTGGATCAAGTCGTCCGCCGCTCGTCGATTCGCGGCTGGGTCGACGAATACGATCGGGAAACCGCGGACGTCCTTGTCTTGGCAGGCGAAACGCATCTGTACCGCAAGCCCGGCGCGATGCGCTTCACGACCGAAGCCGGCCGTCGCTCATTCCAGGACACAGTCCTGAATTACCTTGTGCCAGTGGACGCAGTCGATGAGCTCGCATCGAAGCTCGCTTCGCGGATGTACGAGCGCACTCAGGGTCGACTATGGATGGGCGCACATATGCGGCGCGGAGACTTTGTGCGTCTTGGTTGGGCCATGGAGAAGGATCCCGAGACACACGTACGGCGCGTGAAGGACCGTTTAGGGAAGGGAAGAGAGTTCTTGGAGAGCCTCAAGAGCCGTGATATCCAGGTCTATGATATTCCCGGTGTCAAGCCTAATGCGGACCTACTCTCTCGCCCTCCCCCTCGTTCTGGTGACGAGTACGTATTCCGCACTGCCCATATCAAGTCCATAACTAACGTGTACTCTAGCTTCTACGTCGCCACCGACGAACGCGATCCGGAGGCCATGAAAGTCATCCAGTCCAACGGCGCCGTCTTCATGAAGGACCTCTTGACGAAAGACGACCTACGAGACTTTGGCTGGTCGCTCATGATCACCGACTACCGCGCCGTCGTCGAGCAACATCTACTCGCCCACAGCTCATTCTTCTACGCGCACGCCATGTCCTCTGTCGCCGGCGGCATCGTGAACATGCGCGCCGCGGCCGGCGCAGACCGCCATACCTCGTTGCTCGATTGAGAGGTGCTCGGTCGCATGTTTGGTTTGCGTACGACTGGTGGAAAAGGGTTTCCGTTATCATTGACATTGCTTTCGTGCCAATACCGATCTAGTTGCATGTTTTCTGGGCAAGTACTGTACCATTATACCTTAGTATGTGTGAGGCACTGTATATATTGTTGTGCTGGATTATCTTTCATTTTTGCTTGTCCTGCCAATGCGACATTACACGATTTTGCGTGTACTAATTCTCTCTCAGTACGCCAACTGGCTTTGTGTGTCTTCGCAAAGGATCATCCTCGCATGATGGGATAGCATACAGCATACAGACGGGCATGCATTTTGAGAAAGGTACATGGATGTGCAGAAAGCCAGGGAGAAAAGAAAGCGATCAGAAGCCGCCGGCAGCGGCAGGCTCCTGCGGGTAGCCCTGCTCGTACGACTCGGGTGCCTGCTGGTAAGCAGCGCCCTCGTCGGCTGCGGCAGCGACATGGGGTGCGGGGACGGCGGGCTCGCGCGACTCGGACGTGGGCTCGGCGACGATCTTGTCGATCGGGGGCTCGAGGACCTGGACGGAGTCGGGGAGGGGCTTGGAGGGGCCGACCTTGCCCTCGGGATCCCAGCCCTTCATGATCTTGACCTTGATACCGAGGACACCCTGACGGAGGAGAACGTGGCGGACGGCGTAGTCGACAAAGTCGCGGACGGGCTGACCGGAGTGGATCATGAAACCGTCGGTGAACTTCATCGACTTTGCACGGGCAGCGCGGAGCTTTCCAGAGACGACAACCTCGCAACCCTTGGCACCCGACTCCATGACGAAGCGGAGGACACCGTAGCATGCACTGTAGAGTCACAGCGTTCGGTACCGAGATTGAGATATTCAGAGTTAGGGAATGTACGCACCGACGGATGGCAAGGCCACCGAGGAGCTTGTAGCGGAGAGACTCGCACTGTGCGACGGCAGAGAGACCGCGGAACTGGACCTTCTCGGCGTAGAGCTCGAGCGAGTTCTCAGGGAACTTGAAGCGTTTTGAGACGAGCGCGGTCAGCTCGCGGATGCGGCGGCCCTTCTCGCCGAGAACCTCCTGCGTGTGGGTGGCACGGATGATAATCTATTATGATATGAGGATAAAAGTTCTGGGAGTGAATGGTCGAGTGTGCGGACCTCAGTGCGTGCGTGGGTGACGCGGACGTCGCAGCCAGAGTAACCCTCCTCTGCGAGCTCGCGGGTGAAGAACTCGTTGAGCTCGGCGCGGAAGACACCGTCGGCAACGAACTTGCGCTTCTTCGACATCTGCGAGGGAGGCATGGTGGACGGAAAGATGTGGTCGGCGCTGCAGGACAACAAGCAGATCAGCACTCCATCCAGTCGACCCGACACCAATCCAGCCCAGTCCGCCCGATCGCCGCTATTCCTCGCCCGACGAGCAGCACCAGGGGAGACCAGCAGCAGAGTAACGCACCTTGGGCGGTGTCTTGAGGGGGGAGAAGGGCGCTCGCCGCTGTCGGAGACGGTGTGCTCAAAGTGCTCGAAATCGGCGAAGCTGGCTGAGCTGCTTACGTAATGACGCGCTCGATCCGGAAAGCGCGCGCCGCGACTTGATGCGCTTGCCACTTGCTGCCATGCTGTCCCTCGCCAGACGCGCTCTCGGAGAGGTACGCACGCGCTCATTATATTCACATACATATACTTATACTCTGTGCACAGTGCTCGCGTCTGCCGGCGCGCCGCTTTGCCACTGCTATCACAAATGCACCTCCAGCTCATTCCGACACGCTCTTGACATTATCTACCTCGGCCGATGTACCAGTGAAGTGTACGTTCTGTTGTATGCTTATCTATCCTGTACTCACTCTCGCCGTAGACTCTCCCCTTCAGCAACCTGTCTACCTCGCCGTGACGCCGCTGGTGAAACCCGAGGCTGGTGCCGAAGAGCAGGTCGCCGAGCTGGACCCAACGGTATTCGCACACCCTATCAGGCGGGATATCCTGCACCTCTGCGTAGTGCACCACAGAGATGGGGAGAGGCAGGGCAGCGCACATACGAAGACGCGGAGTGAGATTGCTGGTTCTGGACGGAAGCTGAGGCCGCAGAAGGGCAGCGGTCGTGCGCGTCTGGGTGACCGTAGCAGCCCCATGCTGCGTGGCGGTGCTACCGCGTTTGGCCCACGCCCGCGGGACTTCAGCACCAAACTGCCGCGCAAGGTGATCGAGATGGGCATGCGCGTGGCCCTCAGCGCCCGTCTGCGCGAGCACGCGCTCCGGGTCGTGCCCTCGTTCGAGTGGACAGACTTCAAGACCCGTGGTCTGCTCGAGCGTCTGGAGGAGCTGAAGTGGTCGGACAGGACACTGTTTGTGTCGGGCAAGGAGGAGGTCCCGCTCAACCTGCTCCTCGCCTCGGGCAACATTCAGCACGTCGAGACGATGACCGTCAAGGAGTTCAACGTCTACGAGGCTGTCAGGTGGCGTAACATCGTGTTGGACATGGACGCCGTTCAGTACTTTGAGGACAAGCTAAGCAAGCTCCCTCGCGAGGCTACCGTCTAGTATTATCTGTACCGTATACATACTCGTTCGAATTAATTGGGACCACATACTCTTACTTCGAAGCCTCGCGGTACCGAAAATAAGGGACGCAAACGCGCCCACGTGAACAAGCGCGTTTCTTCCCGCGTCAGCCCCGTCGCGTCGCTGACTCAAGCCTTGTCCTCCAACCACCACCACCACTCCCACCGTCTCCCCTTTCCTTTTTGGCCCCGCTCCTTCAGATATCCCACATGGCATCTCAAGAATCTCAGCCCGACTATCAAGACGGCGAGGGAGAGGAGGAGCTTGGTGCCTCGGGTCCCCTCCTCATCGAGAAGCTCCAAGTACGACGCGTCCTTACCGTGTATGCGCGTCGTATTCACGCGGCAAACCGTGTCTAGGAGTCTGGCATACACGCTCAGGATATTAAGAAACTCGCCGATGCTGGCTTTCATACCGTCGAGGCTGTCGCGTACACGCCCAAGAAGAACCTTATCAGCATCAAGGGTATTTCCGAGCAGAAGGCGGAGAAGATCCTTGCCGAAGGTACACTCGACTCCTGCGCACATATAAGAACCTCCGAATTGACTTTGCGTGGTTCTGCAGCTCAGAAGATCGTCCCGCTCGGCTTCCAAAGCGCGACGGAGGTACATGCGCGCCGGTCCGAGCTCGTGCACATCACCACGGGTTCGAAGAACCTCGATACCTTGCTAGGCGGTGCGCATATACTCTGCTTGCGCAAGATTTGATTCCTAAATATGTTATATAGGCGGCATAGAGACAGGCTCGTTGACCGAGTTCTTTGGCGAGTTCCGCACGGGCAAGTCGCAGCTCTGCCATACGCTCGCCGTGACGTGCCAGTTACCGGTCGACATGGGTGGCGGCGAGGGCAAGTGTCTGTACATCGATACGGAGGGTACCTTCCGCCCGGAGCGTTTGCTGGCCGTCGCAGAGCGCTACGGCTTGAATGGCGAGGAGGTGCTGGACAACGTTGCATATGCACGCGCATACAACGCGGATCACCAGCACCAGTTGTTAACCGCCGCTAGCGCACTCATGTCCGAGTCTCGGCACGTAATATTGTCTCTTCTATGCTGATCAAGTACTTATCTCATTGTGGGTAGATTCTGCCTGCTCATCATCGACTCTGCGACAGCTCTGTTTCGTAGCGATTATATTGGACGAGGAGAGCTCGCCGCTCGTCAAGCGCAGTTATCCAAGTTCTTGAGGAACTTGCAGCGTCTTGCCGACGAAGTGAGCTTGTGCATCCGTGCCAATGTTCTAAGACCGAATCTGAAATTTGCCGTGTAGTACGGCGTCGCTGTAGTGTTCAGCAATCAGGTCATGTCGAACCCTGATGCGTCCGCGGGACCGTATGCGGGTAACGAGAAGAAGCCGATCGGCGGCAATATTCTTGCTCACGCGTCTACGACACGGTTCGTATTTATTCGGGCTTCCCCTCGGTGCAGTACATGACTAAGACTATCGTGGGTAGATTGCAGCTTAGGAAGGGACGGGCAAATACGCGTCTATGCAAGATCTACGACTCTCCATGTCTTCCCGAGTCTGAGACGTCGTTCGCCATCCTGCAGAGCGGTATCGGGGATCCCGAAGAGGAGGTCTAGACACGAACCCTTGACGATCTCGTAGACGGACTATGTATCTTGTAGTGTTGTACTCTACCCTTCACGTCACTCGCTCAGGCTTCGGATGAATATACCACACACACACACACGTTGCTCTCTATGACTAGATGTTGAGAAGTAGCAGGATTGATAATATAGGTACAGCACAGCGAGGGACGAATATATGGATACACAGGTGTGTTGAACGATTATTTGCGCATGAGAAGGTATATGGGGTCGCCGAGGACGATGCTGGTCATATGGCGGTACGAGCCGGTCAGGCTCATCAGCATCCCGCCGAAGCTTGCGTATGCAGTCCTATAATCTTGTTTAACACGCGGAAGTAGGCAAATAAAGCAGTTCACGCACACGGTCTCTGAGTTGCCCGAGTCAAAGCGGTACACCTTTCCGTACATCACATACTCATAATCTTCTTCCAAACCGCGACGACCCTTTCCGTCTGGTCTCCACACGTCGCGCTCGTCCTGCGCGTTCTCCGAGTCCTTGGATTGTGGAGTGCGGGCGAGAGAGGATGCAAGGGCGAGGGAGAAGCTGTCGTCTTGAGACAATGGGTACAGCTCGATATTGTAGTCGAGAGTCAGGTCCATGTCGTAATTTTGTGAGTGCGCGTACAATCGCGATACTGTGGAGGAACGTTGAGCAGCCGCATTGTGCGGAAGGACAATGGCCGCACCTCGGTCAAACTTCTTTCCCTCGCGGTCAATGGCATTGATGCGGAAAATGTCGTCAAAGACGAGGTTGGAAGAGGCTGGCTGAGACATGTTGAAGCGCCTTTATTCGACTTGGTGCGAGCGACAGGCAGGTGTGGCGCACTTGCGCTTTTGGAGATGAGGGTCAGAGACGAGGTGTGGGTTTCGTTCCGGATCGGGAAGTGAAGTTGATTGAGATGGGATCGAAGTCATGCCGATGTTCGTATCTTGGCTCTGCCTCTGACCCCGGCGACTCCCAGCGCGTCGCGACGCGTCGCGGTCGAGTGTTCCGTGGCATTCTTAGCGGACAAAGCAGCTGGGCGCCAAAGCTGAAAGGAGATCCGGAGACGCGCCGGCCTGAGAATCGGGCGTGTAGCCCACGTTGTCTGAACGGTGCCGGCTGGGCATCTGCCATGAGCTGAGGGTTCCCCGCTTGCTGCCATGTCTACCTACACCGCCCATCCCTACGCAGCAAACCAACAGTATGCCTATGGCTACCAGGATCCATACCATGGTCAGCAGCAGCAGCAGGCACAGTCTGCATATTATCAACAGCAACAGGCCGCATACTACCAGCAGCAGCCAAAGCTCCAGCCCGTCGGCCAGCCCTTCCCCGCACTCAACGCTGGCTCCACCCCCGGCCCCGGCGCCTACACCCCGCTCCCCCAACAGGCCGCCGCCGTCCGGCCCATCACGCCCGTCCAAGCCCAGCCTGTCCAGCGCCGGCACACCTCCTCCGACCACGGACGTCACCACCAGAGCTCCACAAACCGCCATGCCTCGACGTCCTCCAGCCACCACAGGGCATCGTCACAGCAGGCCCGCCCCCTCCGCTCCGCGATGAAGCCCCCGAAGCCACCCAAATCGCACGCCCACGGGGAACCCATATCGGCCTACCCAGCCCTGGCGCCTACCAAGGAGACCATCGCGCCTCTGCAGAAGGTGCCCACACTACAGCGAGCCCGATCTAGAGACACCGAACGGCCACGGCTGGACTCGATGCGCTCACGGACAGGCTCGTCTGCAGCCGCAGCCGCGAGATTCGAGATGATACCGAGCCAACTAGGTGCACAGAACGCGTTTCACTCCACATCCCAATCCGGTCTGACGCAATGGCAGCACATTTGTTTGTGACGATCAAGTCCCCCGACGTGCTCGAAGTGCAAAACATCACATCCGCCGAGCTCGGTATGCATATCGAGAATCTGTGCAAGTACTGGCATCGGACGGCGAATGTGGAGAGAGATAGCTATTCTCTGCGTGCGAAGTTCGTCGGGCGGCCCTTCGCGTCTACCGGTCCGGATTTGATACAGTGCGTTCTCTGCCTATTGTGAGCGCCTTCTCAGGCTGACTACGTTCTCACAGAGCGCAAAATATGATCATTGGCCTGTTCAAGTTATTATCAGCCTATGTGAGAGCCTCGCCATACGCTGATCTTCCCGAATCGAAGTAACGCGGGTTGTCTAGGGTTATCTCGCCTTGACGTCTGTACATACAAACGCCGGCGTACGTCCTGCTGTCTAACAACGGTGTGTGCGACACATGTTGACGCATTGCTTGCGCGCACGCAGTCTACCGCGCCTCGTCTGGTGTTCCAGCGAGATCATCCGGATCCTACGTGCGAGTTCCTGGCCATGTGCATGGACCCTCACGGCATGACCTTCGTTGGCGCGCCAGACGAGATTGTCCAAAACCTCACCTTGCATCTCAACGGCATATTTCGCAAGGCATTTGAAGATATCAATAATGGCGACGGCTCGTACAGTATTCGCCGACGAGAAGATGCCCCATCGCTGCAGCCTGGGCTCAGTATGTCCCGCCTCGCTTCTGTGGGCGATACGAACTGACCGTATCTATCCAGGTTCGCCGGAGGGCCGAAGCCTGGTCTTCTCCGTCATCTTGAAGTTCATGAACGACGAGTACTTCAAGCTGGATGCCAGTATCGCGTTCGGGCGAACGGGCCTTTTCGGACTCGGCCCGCGCAAAGAGGCGTGGATCTTCAAGACCTCGCCACGTTGGGTGCACGCCAGAACCGAAACGCAGTAAAGGGTTCTGTCTGTACCTTGCCCACACGTCATCCCATGCTGCTACACATTGCTTCATTTTTATCTGGTTTATTGCTACCTATCTTTGTTCTTGGTGTAGCCTCGCGCCTATGCGCTTTCTCCCGCTCCCCGACTCACCCTCGCGTAATGACTGGATGGATCCTCCCACATGGACTGCATAATGTACCATATTGTCTCACTCTTGCTCTCGCTATCGTCTCCCCACAAGGCGATAAAACGACTCTCGGCGTTTCTGTTTGCTTCGAATTCGAAGGACATCTATTTGGGTAAGTATTGGCCAGCAGCGATGCATCTGGTAGGATGCGTAGACGCCGATGAAGAGTCCGGATCAGATGGCGTGTAGCTTAAGGTCTTCCCAGAGAAAGTGCCACAGCTTCGCAGTACTTCTTGTGACGCTTCTAGTCGGCTTTCTGTAGCGCGAATCAGCAACGCGGTGCGGGAAGATGGAACGTCACGAACGTACCTGACATACAGGCGTGCAGTAGTTGATACACTGGCGTGGTCTATCAGACTTGATACCCTGCGGACGGTTGGGATAGGCCACTTACCTGGCAGCGTCCGCACCTGCGTACCTGCTTAGCAGTGAGTGCCAGGGCCGGGCACTGTGTGCACAAGCGACTTCAGCGCAACATAGTACGACCATCAATGATATCATATACGTACCCTGTAATTACCACAGGCGATGTTGTTAGGGAATCCGCGCGCGCGAATTTCCTTCGCCTTGGGGCCGTCTCCACGAGCTTCATAAAGCTGGGCCAGGTTCTCGCGAGTAACAGCGGCGTCAAAGCCGTTGCCCAGCCGGTTCTCGCGAGCGTCGAGTGCCTCTAGCAATATCGGTTCCGCTTCGTCCAACCTGCCCTGCTTGAGGTACAGCTCGCCGAGACTGTTCAAGTTAACCGCTACGTAGTTGTTTCCTGGGCCATATGCTTGGTTGCGGATTTCGATGGCCCGTAGAAAGCGCTGCTCCGCGCCGGCGTAGTCGCCCATTTCCTCCAGTGCTATACCCTCGTTCTGCAGGCGCGTCGCTTCCGCCGTCCCGACGGCATGCATGGGGTTCGGGTTGACTTGAATGTTCATCTGGCCGATATTGTTCACCATGATGCTGGATATGTGAAGAAGGGGAGAGATTGTGGTTCGAGACGCGTCTCATTATTTACACGCGCTGCCACAACTGTAATAGGGGTTTCGGCGAACCGCGTGGTTCATCATTCTTGGCTTGCGGGCTTCGACCAACTTCGAGCACCTTCCCGACGACAGATGATGGCCTAGCTGAACTCGATACCAACGCGAACAGAGTTGATATGTCGACCTGGCGGGTTGATCTACCGCAGAAACGGTGAACGACATCCAAATTTACTTCACTCCGGCGACTGTAACCCGATTAATATAGCTTTATTCGTAGGTTGACAGAGAGCTGATAGCTCATGTATCGTATGCAAAGATAAAAGCGCCTGTGTTGTTCGCACAGGTATTGTCGACGTACTGTAGGGGAAGCCTATGAGTCACCGATTCCAAGGGAACGAGCCACCTGCTTGCAGTGCTTCTTGTGGCGCTTCCAGTCGACATCCTGCAAGTAGGCCAGATGAGTGTCATATACATTGCTGTAGAACGCGCGAACACATACTTGGCAGACAGGCGTGCAATACATTATGCACTATGAGCAGTTAGATGTACCCGCCATAAAGCCCATGTAGATCGGATCTCCCACTCACCTTGCAGTGACTACAACGCCGTAAAGCCTTGATTGTGAAGAGGCTACCCGGGCACTAGTATGCATCATTAGGACATAAAATACGCTACATAGGACTGCTCTCGACATGCCTTGTAGTTGCCACAGGCAAGACTGTGCGGCAATCCACGGGCGCGCGTTCTACGCGCCTCTGGACCATCGCCTCTGGCCTCGTAAACCTGCGCCAGGCTTTCGCGAACGACAGCTGCGTCGAAGTGCTTGCGCAGAGCTTCGTCCTGGTTGTAGACATCAAGGACGCGCTGAAACATGTGTTCGGCGTCGTCCAATCTGGCCATCTCAACATACATCTCCCCAAGAGCATTCTGATTCAGAGCAGCTTGTGTACTTCCCACGCCCCAGAGCTGGTCGCGTATGCGGATGGCCTCCAGGTAGCATTGTTCGGCAGCGGCGTAATTGCCGGCCTTTTGCAGACGTTTCGCCTCATTGTGTATCTTGCTGGCTTGATCATTGCGGGCAAACTTCTCCGGGTCTGTGTATATAGTCTGGTAGCCGACGGTCTGGTTGGGCGGCATGGTAGCGTGACGCTCTGAGGAATGGTAGCAGGAGAGAAGACAATGGAGCACGCGAATGGCACTTGGGAAGGTCGGCACGTGGCAAGTACGTACGGCCGGCGGCATTTTGCGGGCGAGTTGGCCTGAACCGCCTGACCAACGACGACCATCGCTTGCTCCAGAACCACCAGCGCCAGGCTTGACCCAGGCTTCCCCCTTTCCCTCCTATCTTTTCCTGCCACCATGGCATCAACATCATCATATACACAACCAGAAACTTCTCCACAACGCCATCCTCAGCCGCCGGCCCCAAAGTATGCCGACCTGGACGAGGTCTTTGACGATCTATCAAGGTTCGTCTCATGTGGGAACGAGCGGACTGGATGACCCAAAACTTGTCTCTATAGTCGCTTCATCCTGAACCTCCCTGATCACCAGCTCAACTCGCTAGAGAGGATTTGTTTCCAGGTGGAGCAGGCGTACGTTCATTACCCAATAACTCATATCGTCATGTTCTCACCCTTTACCCTAGTCATTGGTTCTACGAGGACTTCGTCCGAGAAGCCAACCCTTCATTACCCTCCTTGCCCTTGAAGCGATTTTCCGAAACCTTCTTCAACGCATGTCCGTTGTTACATCGATGGAGCGGGGATCACGAAGGCGCATTTGCCCATTTTATGCAATATAAGACTCGTGTCCCCGTATGTGGCGCAATCATGCTCAACGACACTTGGGACAAGGTGAGACTATCTACCCCGTATTCCCGACATCGTCTAACAGACGCTCGTAGGTCGTACTTGTCAAGGGGTGGAAGGCATCAGCCGGTTGGGGTTTCCCAAAAGGCAAGATCAACGAGTCGGAGGCAGCGGATGCGTGTGCTGTTCGGGAGGTTTGCCACTTCCCCAAAAGACTTCGGCTGCTCCATGCTCATCGTCTGCTCAGGTGCTCGAGGAGACTGGCTACAATCTCGCCGGCCAGATTAACCCGGCCGATGTCATCGAGGTCTCTATCCGAGAACAGCAGGTGACTCTGTTCGTCGTGCCTGGTGTCCCAGAGGACTACGCCTTCGAAACCAAGACACGAAAGGAGATCAGCGTAAGAACCTATCCTTCTATCAAAGACGGAAATAATAACTGAATACTGTTCAGAAAATCGACTGGTTCAAGTTGAGCGATCTGCCAACATGGAAACGCAATAAGGTACCTGGGAGCAAATTCTACCTTATCACGCCCTTCGTAGCGTGCGTCGCTTTTGCTAGCCTTCTGTGCCCGGTGCTGATAGTCGTTCAGACCCCTGAAATCCTTTATCAACAAGCGAAAGCCCCGAGCCCTTCAATCTCGCCGCAACGGACGCACAAATAGCTATCGTCAGGAACACAACCTGTATCTGCAAGACGAGAGCGATTCGTCTTTCGTGGACATACAGCAGGCGTATTCCGCGCAAGAGAGTTCTTCCCAGACCTCCGCGGACACGGCAGATCCCCAGACGCCCTCGCCCATGTATAGCGAACCCACAGTCCATGTCGACTCCGCTGAGCCTAGCATCGATGCGCAGAACCTGGATCCACATTTCGCGCGCTTGTTGTCGAACCTGACGCTCTCAGCTACGGCCGGAGCTGCTAAGGCCAATCAGACGTCAGACTCTGATGAGAGCATCGTCGTGCCGAGACGGGCCCCGCTCACTCCAGTACCTGCCTCGCCCATCGCACAGGACTCGCCCGACTGGTCCATGCGTGTGGATCATGCCACTTCCACAAGGCCGCCTTCGCTATTGCAGCGGTCTGCTGTACGCTCTCCCAACACGGTCTCCAGGGGTTCTGCAGAGACTGTTCGCGTGGCTTTGCCCCAGTCGCCAGTATCTTCCCCTCCGCCTTCCGCTACCCTCTCCTCGAACTCTGGCCCGTCAAAGCCCATTGTTCCCGGACCGCCGTCGAGAAAGTCGTCTACTGCCGATATCTCGCCCTACTTGACACGTGCCGTCGAACAGCCGGTCAATAGCAAGCGTCTGCGACAGCTTGCCCTTTTGGAGTCCCTAGTGGACGAAACGTCGCCATCAGCAGGTCACCCGGGCCAGCCGACGGTGTCAGCTGTACCGGCTTCTGCCAGCGCTTATTCCAGCGCTTTCCCGCCGTTCAATGCACCCCCGCCTCCGCCTCCATCTGCATCTGTGCCACCTCCCAATTTCATGTCATCTCACGTTCCCACGTTGTATCAGCAGCATACCCATTCGGACCCACTCCCCCCTCAAACCATATATCAGACTGTACAAAGCAACCCTCCGGTCATCCCTGGACCCATCAACGAGGACGAGGCCTTCGTCGTGCGCCCGCGTACGAGCAACAACTTCCGCCCCATCCCACCTCCGCCCTCGCGCCAATTTGGTTCCCGCGCGAGTATGAGCCAGGCTCAGCTTATGGGCATCCTCTCACACGGTGCAGCACCGCTGCCCCCGCCCATCCCTCACCAGATGGCTGCTTCCCATGGCCTGCCACCTCACTTCCCCTCTCGAGCTGGCATGATGAGTGTCCCGCCGTTGGGGATGGGCCCTGTACTACCGCCACCGCCGATGTTCCAGGTGCCTGCCCGCGTGCCGCCCGCTGTGAGCGCGGGCCTGCTCAATATCCTCAATACTCGCGCACCCACTGTGGCCCCGGCGCCTGTCTCTCAACCCCAGTACGCCGGCGTTGCTCCTCGTTAATCTAAATTAAAGAACATTACTCTCGCTATCCTGTACCATATTGTGTCTTTGCGATCCGTTTCATCGTCGTATACATACTAGCGACTATTAGTCTCGCCACGCTTTTCTTTGTTGTCTCTACTTGGTTGTCGCGGTTGCTCGGTCTACCTATCCAAATCCTACGTTCTCCCGCACGACCCGTCATCTCGTTTTCGCATCTATCTCTCAAAGCCCCCACCAAAGTCGATACGCTTCTTGCCCTATCTTACATTCCTGTTTCATTCGCAGTCTCTTGCCCCCATTCTTCCCCGAACTCGATGCACCTCCAATAAACCCAACGCATCACTCGCGTCTCTCACATACCTCTCCACCTTCCTTTCCGTTGATACTATTTCATACATACTGGTAAGTCCTTCCCATCGCTTCCATCGCTCGCTTTCCCTTGTTCTTCGCACTATCGCATCGAACCCCTCCTGTAGTTTTGTAGCGTAGCATCCCGGTGCTCTCCAATGAGAATGTCCGCGGTCATTTGTCACAATAAGATCGTGATGATTCAGAGCAAATGGATGTACAGCAAGATAACAAGATGCGAGCAGGAATAAAGTGTTGTCCAAAGTGAATAATGATGTCCCGTGTAAGTCTCATGAGTAGGCGTGCCATGATCGTGTCACCGTTTTTGGTTCTTGTTCTCATTCCTACGCGCAGCTATGATGTTAGATGTCGACTTGACAGTTGAACAGGATACGCACTTCGTATGCATTTCGTATGCCTCCTTGTTAAGAGCGTCTACCTTTGGTGTGTCTGGGAAGTTGATATCCCAGAAACCTGGGGGCGTCTTCGGACGCGAAAACACCGCCCGATGACGTGAAATCTCTTGCATGTGACTGTCGACTTGCTACGCATATAGTGTCAGTGGAGAGACAAGCGAAGGATATATACGGCGTAAACACGTACCTTCCCGCGTTGAGCATTGTTTTGGTGATCAAAAAATGCGTCATCGAAGTCGGCGTCATAGTGTACATCGCCACGAGGACGCGTTGTCCCGATCCTCTCGTTACCTCGGTTGCTAGATGAAGTGGAAGGCATCACTTCAGCACGGTGGTGATGGTGATGAATGTGACGATGATGCTGAGGCGACGACGAAGGACTGCGCCATAGTGGGGCCTGTAAACGCGGCGGCATAGGCCCAACGGCTTCATAGTACTGTGTGCATCCGTTAAGGGTCATACACTTCAATCATGCGTACAGCACACATACCTCCCAGCACTCCTCGCAATCTTCAGCGCCGAGTTCCTTCCTACGCTTCCCTCGCACTACCTCCTCATATGGAAAAATAGGTTTCGACGCTCCGGCGTTTGTCTCGCCCTCTTCGGGCTCGGTATCTTCTTCATCTTCTAGCTGAAGTCTGGAAGTTGATAGTTCCGGCGCCGAGTACCTGCCTCTCTTCCGGGCCGCCTTACCATCGAAGGTCATGTCGCGGCCTCGAGTTATGGGGACTTGAATCTGCTTGCTATACGTGCGCAATATTTTGGGGCTGAACATCGGCTTCTCGGACTTGTCCAATGTGAACAGGTTCGGTCGCTTGGAGCTCGCTGGCCAGCGAGGACTAGTTGCAGGACGTGTACGCGATTGGGGGTATCCAGACACAAGAGCAACCCGCGAAGGGGGTGGCAGCGACTCGGAGTCCTGCTTGTTATGACGAGCAGCGGGTGTGGTCGAGTTGGGTGTAACATGGCTGACAAAGGGTACCAAAGCATCGCGTGGACGAGCTACCGACATGGACAAATCGGAAGTACGTCGTGCGCGTTTCGTGGGCGTGAACCGAGGACGTGGAGCTGTTTTGCCTAGTGTCACTTACGGACAAACCCGCGACGTCGATAGGAGAAAATTACCTTGGGTCTCATCTTGCGTAGCGCTCACGTTCGAGCGAGGCGACGAAGGCGGTGCGTGATTGTCCTCGCTATCATCGTTCTCGACTGACAATCGCTTTCGCTTCTGTGGGGTTAGCTTTCGGGGACTGCGTCGTAGGGGTGATGCCTTGGCGGAAAACTCTTCCAGCGTATCTGGGGAAGATTTGGTATCGGAGGCATCCGCAGCTAAGACTACCGCGCCGAGTCGAGTGGAGGGGCCAGGGCCAGGGATTCGAAAACTGGTGGCATTGGCGCTCGATGTAGCTCCAGCAGCCAGTGCACGACGTGGCTTCGTCGGAGTATTTGGTATGCTCGACGTGCCAAGAACCACCGGTACGGGCGACGAGTCTGCGTCGTGCGCGCCCACAGAGCGAATAGTTTTGCTCTCCTCGTTCGCGACCAGGCTAGGAAATACGCCATCGGAGTCCGCGCCCTCAAGCTTCACCTCAACCTCAGACTCGGTGTCCCTAGGAAGGCTCTCAAAGGCGAAGACGATCCTCATTGCAGCTTGATAAAGCGCGTCTTTGCTCGTCTTCGAAGCCTTGCTGAGGCGCTTCATTTCAGACAAACGTCGCGCACGCTCTCCCTGCATACGGATTCGCAAAGACAGGTGTTTAGTCCTCATGTTGTCGTGCGATAGTCGAACCGCGCTGATTTCTTCGCGTGTCTCGTCCAGTTCCTTTCGCACCGAGGCCAACGCCGTACGTGCGGTGATGAGATCTAGGACATCTATAAGTCAAATGATACTAGTGGAGACGCTCGGACATGACGCACCATTCATAGAGTTGTCACGCTCAGCCGTGCTCTGCAGAAGACTTTCCTGAAGTGACTCTTTCGCCTTTTCTCGCTCATCCAACTGCTTTATATGCGCTTCGCCCTCGCGCTCCAGCCTCGAAATCCTTTCCTTTGCCTTCTTCACCTCCTCCTTCAGTGTGGGTACGCGTTTCGCATTATATTCAATGTTTGTCCGGTTCCAAATCGTTCTGTCTCCGAAAACAACCCTGTCCAGTTCCTCAGGAGTCGTACATCCGAGCGCACGAGACACACGTTGGAAGGACGCGTGGAGCGCACTCAGTTGTGTCTGATAACGACCGGCGTTTGCAACCTCATGTTCAAGCTATAAATACTATTAGATATTGGATTATGCAGATGGAAACATGCGGCATTCATGAAATAATGTAAGGGTGGCGCAGGACCGCAGTAAACTCACAACTAACCTGACGCTCGAGATGCGCGATTTGCTGGTCAAGCCGCTCCTGGCTTTCAGTATCGGTCATGAGACCAGAGCGCCTTCTTTGAAGTCCAGCACAGAGAAAATTCCGCGGGTTGATGAAGGAATGATGTGTTCGGAGTGGTGGTGGCGAGAAACAAGGACGCGGCGCGAGTCGCGGTCGTTGATAGGCACGTGTTCGCGTCAGCTTTTCGGTGCCGACGGGGCACCGCAATCGACCTCTCTTCAGCCCATCACCCTCTACTATGTGTTTATACTTAACACCACTCGATTTCAATGTGAGAAGATATCTTTGAGCTGGCTGTCTGAACTATATCATGTGCAAGTCGTACAACTTCGGAACCAGAACTCAAAGGTATGAGCTATAGTACCACTAGGCTCCCTTCCTATGCCCGTATATCAATACAGGGAGGATTGCCGCTACTGCGTAGTGGGTGATAGGCTTTATGATACTCCCATATGGGCATATGTAGGCATCTTCGAGCTCGTTCAGTCGTCGCAGGACAAGACATTGGATAGCATCCGCTATACTCGTTTATAGTATGCTAAGCGTTGGGTAGTCAAGGGCTCGTAGCGGTGAGTTGAAACGGCTGAGCCAGTCACTCACTACCATACATGCATCGGCTGTTCAGTCTCCCTCCTTGTAGTGTTGTTGCAAACGCCGTATGTTCCCAAAACGTCGCAATGGCCCAGTAGTATTACTGCCTCTAATAACAGCTGCCTGTAAGTATACGGCTTGGATTACCGCATTAAAAAAGGCCCAGACGCGAACTCTCTGAGAGCACACTCTCCATTCTCTGCGCGCTGAGTATCATCGCGATCGAAGCAGTCGAGCTTATCTCGTCGATGAGCCAAATGAACGCCGTTGCAATAGACGCGATGACACAATCGCGAACTGACATCATCACCGGAAGATGGAATACGCTGATGCGCAAATGAATCGGGGTATTTCTAACTTTGAGTTTACGCGGCAGATTCGATCGAGAACATGGGCTTGCCGATGCGAATTAGCCGGGTGGACAAGTTTGCCTGGCCGCTGCTAGCCAAAGCGCAATGAATGTCTGAAGATATGGCTACGGTCACGACGAATATCGATATCCAGGCGCGCACACCCCTTGAACTTGAGCTTGCACCCGGCAGAGAAGCGATACTTAGTGTCTATGTAATCGTCTTACATGATCTTGTCGCCCATGCACGCGCGAAGGTGGGGCAGGCTTTTGTTAAATTGTGGAGCGGAAATCTCGCGCACACGCGCCTAGACCGTCAGACCGTTACGGGTAGGGATTGCGTTACGCATGCAATTGGAGAGACCTGCATCACCTCCACAGCGAGTCGAAGTGTTCGAACAGACTAAGGACAGACAGCACAGGACAGCACTGAGCTAGAGAGCACAGGAGTGCACGGAACGGACATACTTAGATTGAGCGAGCTGAACTCCGGTCCGAGCGGGAAAGCCGATGATACGGATAGAGCCAGAAGATCATCACAAAGCTTCGTTCGGCCTTCTCAAGTTGATGAGCAGATTGCTAGGAAGACCCTTTCGGTCTTCCGACCCCGTACCAACATCGATGCAGCCCACGCGGTGCGGCTCCGACCACGCAGAAGGCGGCTCCGGAGCGGCCCCGGGTGCGCGCAGCGTTTGTTCGCGTCGAGGTATGAGAACACTTGGCCACCGTCACTCGACGGCATGGAAGGCGGATGAGTGGGTGCGACGGGCCCCGTTGCATTCGCGGAGGCGTCTTTGAGCTCCGTAAAGTCGGCCACGGTTGTCGTGGCAGGCGGCTATGGAGATATGCCGTTCGTGAGCAATCGGGCAACGCATGGCCGGGAGCGACGGTGATATGAGCACAAAGGGAGCAAAGCGGGACGCCGGCCGACACGGTGTCGTCGCATAGACCCGAAAGGCGACTAGCAGGCTTGATGTATGATGCATAATGCTCACGTAGAGGCGAATATGTCACATAAGATGCCCGCTAAGTATGTTCATGGCCGCGACAAGTGTCAAAAGAGGACGTTCGGGAGCCCGTCGTTGTCGTGGAACGTGTTTGACAAGCAATCGCAGACTGCGAGATGCTAGCACGAGTCCGAGGCCAGCTTCCTATTCTGCAGCCATCCGGCGAGGAGTAAAGACACCGCTTCTCTGTCGATCAATACATATGCATACCGTCTCGAGCTGGATCCTGAGGCCTGAGGTCTCCAAGCCGCACATCGTCGATGCGTCTTGTGAGTAAACGTCGTACAAAGACCCGACGCCCAACAGTAGTGGCGCAACACTATGTAAGCGGCCCGAACTGCCGCTCAGCGGTATATGCTGGGGGATTCGGGCTGGGAAATGCACAGAGGCGCGCAGACTGGCGGCACGGCAGCGCGCCTGGTCCAAGATCGGGGTCAAGATACTTCGCTAAGTAGCGCGCCGCGCCTTCGGGCTGCAGAGAAAGATTCCGCCAGCGAGAAAAGTCGAACTCAAATCCATTTGCGCTTTTGGACGAGATTCGGCCGAATTTGGGCGGTGGCGATGAGCAAACTGATTCTGCGGGTTAAGCCCCTATGTCTGCTACGAACTCCCGTGTCTGAGCCTCGCCTCTGCTGCATCACTCAGACGCCGCACCTGTACATGCACCACGCCTAGCTCAAACTCGCCTACACCATGTTGAACGGCAGCGGGATCAAGTTCTTCACCGGTGCGCGTGGTTGGGCTTGCGCGTATGGGCAGAGGCTGATAAATTTGCGGGGTTGAAGGAACGAGCCATCCAGAGCTCGCAGAGTTGGTCGCACGACGGTGTGTATCCTAGTAGATACTGTACTAGCCATATCTCAATACCATTGCCTAGACTTGGCATTCCTCTCTCGCGGGCGAACGTAAGCAGGAGTGGGATCGGAGAGTCGAATGTGACCATCGTAGAGTCGGTGCGCGAGGACGACGTCTATATCCTCAATACCGGTTGCGGGGAGATCAATACCTCGCTTATGGAGCTCTGTATTATGATCCACGCGTGCAAAATTGCTAGTGCTAGGCGCATCACTGCGGTCGTCCCCCTTTTCCCGTATGCCCGCCAGGACAAGAAGGACAAGTCGCGCGCGCCGATCACAGCAAAACTTGTGGCGAACATGCTGCAAAAGTCTGGATGCGATCATGTCATTGTGCGTTAGTCTGCTCACGCTCTTGCTGCTCCGGGCGCACTAACATGACCGCATATGCGCAGACCATGGATCTGCATGCATCTCAGATTCAGGGATTCTTTGACGTGCCGGTTGACAAGTGCGTAGATCATCTCCGGCCCAGATACTAAGTCCCGCTCATGTTCGAATGATTGGCAGCGTGAGCGTACCGATCTCGTAGCTGTGGCGCTGAGAGTTAACGTGCCCCGGGTAGTTGTATGCAGAACCATCGGTGATCTTGTATGTCCGGACGCATTTCGATTTGTCGGACGTCGTCATCGTTTCGCCTGATGCTGGCGGTGCAAAACGGTGGGTGATACGGAGATTACCGTGCATGGTTGGTCTTGACGGCGATTAGGGCGACTTCCATGGCGGACCGGCTCGGAGTGGACTTTGCGTTATTCCATAAAGAACGCAAAAAGGCCAATGAGGTATCGCGGATGGTGCTTGTTGGCCATGTCCGGGACAAGACGGCCATTTTGGTGGACGACATGGCGGACACATGCGGCACGCTAGTGCTAGCGGCGAGGCATCTAGCGGAGGCGGGCGCAAAGCGGGTGTTGGCCATCGTGACGCACGGCATCCTGAGCGGGAACGCGCTCTCGGCGGTGGAGAGCAGCGCGTTGGAGAAGCTGATCGTGACGAACACGCTACCCCAGAAAGCCAAACAAGAGCAATGCAGCAAGATTGAGGTGATCGACATTGCGGCGGTCCTTGCGGAGGTCATCCGACGGAGCCACTACGGGGAGAGCGTGTCGAAGCTGTGAGTGTGGTCTGTGTGCTGTACTCTGTATTGAATGCTGAAGCGGGCGGGCAGATTCAACGAGGTTCCGTACTAGAGCCGGATATGGAAAGAGGGGCGCCGGGTTGTGGGGTCGGAGATCTCGATCTGTAGACTAGCTTGATGTATTGATTTGTTTGTGAAATTGGGGCCGGAAGCGGCTTGTGACAACTAGGCTGGTTGAGCGCGCGAGTCCGGCGGCGCCGTTCTCTCCTCCTGCGCTCACCGCGGCCTGCTCATGCTCTCGCGCTGAGCCCACAGATGCACTCCTGCAGATCATGTACCAGAACCCCCGCCCGCCCCAACATGATCAGCCGACCACAACCCTCGTCCCCCGCGCCCACCAGCACCACCAGCCACAGCCGAAGGAGCCTTTCTTCGCACAGGCAATTCCCGCAGTACACTACGGCCAGTCCTCGGTCGTGTACGGAGACGCCTCGTCCTGTAATTATATTTTATATTCGCATAGTCTGCCCTCCTGACCCCCCGAACCCGAAACAGCGTCGACGAGATCGTTCACGCCCATCAAGGCCGTCGGCGACGGCTCCTTTGGCACCGTATGGCTCTGTGATTGGCATGGGCCGCTACCGCCCAATACCGCGGTTCCGGCGATGCAGTCTGGGGCCGGAGCTCGGCCCGAGTACGCGAACAAGCGGCTCGTCGCCGTCAAGCGCATGAAAAAGAAGTGGGAGGGCGGCTGGGACGAGTGCGCCAGACTGAAGGAAATCGAGGTGAGCCCGTCCTTGTTCGCCTGCGCGCCGTCAAGCCGTTCGAACGCGCATTCCAGGCGCTCCGTGCGATCACCACACATCCGAACATCATCCCGCTCTATGACGCTTTCCTCCTCCCCGACACCAAGGAGCTCTACTTTGTATTCGAACCCATGGAGGGTCACCTATTCCAACTCATCAAGGCTCGAAAGGGCCGGCCGCTCGCAGGCGGCCTCGTCGCTTCCATCTTCCGCCAAATGGTCTTCGGCCTCCACCACATACACGAGTCGGGCTACTTCCATCGCGACATGAAGCCCGAGAATGTTCTCGTCACCACCACCGGCCTCCACGATTACCCGAACGTCTCGCCCAAGGGCGGCCAAATGGAGAAGGACGTCGCCGTCATCATCAAGCTCGCCGACTTTGGTCTCGCCCGAGAGACCAGGAGCAAGCCCCCGTACACCGAATATGTCTCGACGCGGTGGTACCGCGCTCCTGAAGTGCTTCTCAAGTGTCGGGACTACTCAAACCCAGTTGACATGTGGGCGCTTGGGACCATCATGGCCGAACTAGTCAACCTTCGCCCGCTTTTCCCAGGCAAGACCGAGTACGACCAGATCGAGAAGATCACCAAAGTTCTCGGTGACCCCTCGAGCGACTACGGACTCGACGCTCGCGGCCGTCCCCTCGGCGGCGGCAAGTGGCCTCGCGGTATCAAGCTCGGCAAGGCCGTTGGTTGGCAGTTCCCTCAGGTGGGTCGCTCCTTGACTACGTACTCTCTCGCGTCAAATTCTAACCGGTCTTCCCTTGATAGACGGCGCCCATCGACATCAATTCTCTTTTCGAGCAGCATGTCCCCCATCAACTCGTTGACTGCATTGCAGACTTGCTCAAGTACGAGCCCGGTGACCGTCTCACGAGTCGGCAATGTCTCCAACATCCGTACCTCCTCGAGATCGCGTCCCGCGCGAATATGGCGCCCACACTCACGGTGACGACTTCTGCTCCCGCCCTACAGCAAGTTCGCAGCAACGGCGTTGCTTCTGCTACTCTGCCGCCCGGCGTCCCTCACCCGGCTCAGATGGGCTCCGCTCCCAATGTACGGTACTCTGACCCGGTCCGACAGTCTTTCTACTCGTCATCGAGCGGCCAGCCAGAGTGGGGCCCGGAGCCCATGCACGCACAGGTCCAGCAGTGGCGCGACCAGGTACATCCGACAAGGCACGAAGCGCACCAGTCCATGTCGTCCGCTTCGTCGTATCCGAGCGTCGCGTCACCGCAGGCGGGCGAATGGGTGTCGTATGTTCCCGTGCAGGTCCACGATACGGAGATACAGACGTCGCCGATGGCACTCGAGCATCCTGCCCGGCCCGCGGCCGACCCCGAGTCCATGCATCACGACGCTGCCGTCCACGGGGAAGCCCAGAACGCGTCGAAGACGGGCGGGAAGCTCCCCATTCTCGGCGGCTTTCGCAAGGCGAACAAGTGGGGCTTCTTCGGCCATGGCGAGAAGGGTCCGCAGAACGGGCTGCCAGTCGTGGACGAAACCGATCACGCATTGCCCTCGCTCAAGCGCACGCAGTCTACGAGTACCTCGGACAGCCGTTCACTGCCCGACATACAGGCGCAGCAACCCGAGCCCGCGCGCGATCAGCGCAAGATCAAGCAGGAGGCAAAGGAGAGGGCGCGCGAAGCCGAGCGGCAACGCCGCCTGCAAGCGGAGAAGAATCATCGCGAGCAAGCGCGCGCTGTCATGCAGAAGCGTAATGCTCTCGAAGCCCGTACTCGTTCCGAACTCGAATGGAAATGGCAGTCGCACTCGACGCTCTTGCAATCCGAACAGCAGCAACAGCAGCAGCAGCTTCACTGGCAACAACAACAGTTCTCGCCGGGGATGCAGGGTGCGTCAATGTCCAGCACGCGGTTTGAGAAGGGCAAAGGCTCGGCGGGTCCCATCCGGCAACAGCCAGGTGCCAATGGCTTCGCGAATGCTGGTCCATACCATTGGCGAGGCGACGAGCGTATGGCGAAGGCCCGACGGCGCGAATTCGACGACGACCACTCCATGTCTTCCTCGGACGTGCAGAGCATTGGCCCAGTCTCCGCAATCTCCTTCGCTACTGTGGACAGCGATCCGGGCCCTTCGCGAGCACCACATCCGCAATTGCGACCCCGACCGAGTATGCTCGGCATTCGGAGCAGCACGTCAAGGGCACATTCTCCATTACGACAATTCGACGAGTTTAGCGTGCGCAGTTCGCACTCGCACTCGTACGAACAACACCTCGCCAACGATTTCAATCTCCGTGCTTCCGTTGACTCAAGTTCGCTCTCGGATATGGGCTCGCCACCGGCCGTCCACGCTCTCTCGCTCTCTCCACAGGCCTCCTGGCAAACAGTCACAGGGTCTGAGAATCCCGACGTCGTCATGGCACAACCGCAGGCTTCGCACCTCTTCGCGATGCCGCCCCGACAGCACTATTCTCCTTCTGGCCTGAGCAACTACAGCGGTCGCGAAGCTAGCCCTGCGGCGCCCAAGTCGGCAATAAATCCGATCTTCAAGGTGGTAAGTCCGCCCTCATTGTTTTATGCTTCTCAGATGATGTCGTGCGGCGCGGGTACGCATGCACCCGGTGATGGACAGGTCGGCGGTGGCCAGCCTCCGAGTCTTCTTTGATCCCGCATCGTTTGTTCAAGCGCTGACAAGTCTATCGTAGCCGTCACTGCCATCAATGAAGGCTCCAAGTTCGCCGTTCAACGCCGCCAATGCGCCCCCGACGCCAGCGCTACCGCCGTTCGCCCAGCTTGAGGCAGTTGCAAAGGGAGAATATCCCCCGCTGTCGCCCATGGAGTTCAGCATGCCAGACGGATAAGCCGCCCCTCACGCCAATCCTTGACTCCGTCTGTTCGTCCGTCCACCTGTGCTCGTTATCGTCACTAGCATCAGCATCCGTCATCGCAACCCCGATCCTCGCCCTTCAACTATTTATCCCGCTCTGCTTTCCGCCTCGTCCGTTGCATCTTATGCACAGAACCGCCTTGCTCTCATCTCATTATTCTCCGGACCCACTTGTCAATATTCAAAGTATTCTTACCTGCTGCCCACCCGTTCCAGTTATTGCCTGCTACTCCTTCCTACGCACGCTATCACCACGCCTCTTGTGCGATCGCACAACGCGCCGCCGCTCCTTTACATCATACCGCGAACAAATTCCCTCTCCCATAATCACCTCACCCCTTCCATATCCACCTGCTTCTGCTGCCGCATACTGTCACTGCCCTCGCCCGCACCCGTGCGCCTCTGTGTTTATGAGCCTCGCCCTGTCTATTCGCGCCCGCCGGACCCGCGCTTGTTCTCGCTTCGTCTTCGCCCTCGTCTGTGATTCATTCATACTTTGCTACTCCCACCGTATCCCCTCCCTAGCATCCCTTTGTCTTCCCATCACACTCAACCCGCGCACCATCATCTCTCTACGCGCGGCCCGGCGCGCTTGTCCATTGCATCGCCCGGCGCACGGTTGTTACCATATAGCTTAACATCTCTCGCCTAGTACATCGTTACCCACCCCGCGGGGCGAGAATCCAGTAGACACCTGTACACTTACGATACTGCGGCAGTTCGCAACTCTCAATGGAAAAGAGCAAATACCCCAACCCTGTATGTGATCATCTCTGTGGTCGACAACAGGCCATCCGTATGACAGCGACCGCCGTGCAACCGTACTTCACTACCGGAACGCTCCTGCCCTTCGCGGAAAGTTTCTCACCGCAAGTTTTGGGTTTTACAGTGTACTTATATGGGCGCGTCAAGTCAACGTAAGGGTCTCATAGCCCCGTAAGCCCAGCGCCTACACGGGCATCCAGACCCGGACGATGATCATAGCGCGATTGACTGGAACAGAAGCATGTTTCGCGAACAGAAGGCGGTATAATAGTATGCACACACGTTCGCAGTTCATATCTTTCCTGGAAGCGGGAAGCGAGTATGAAAATGCCGCAAATGTATTGATGCATATGGGTTATTCTACGGATACATGCGTGTGGCCATTCTCCGCGCCCAGCCTGCCGTCGTATGGACGTCCCGGCGCCCATGGCACTAGAACCTGCCGAGCGCGACTCACGCACGTTCAGTGGTGGTGGTGAGGTTCTTGCTCGTAGCGGAAGCCGCTGGATGGAAGTGCCGGGTCAGCAGACGGAAGGAACAAAGCTTCGGATGTGACGCACCAGTAGCTGAACGGGCATTGCGGAGAAAGAAGGGAAGGACGCATGTGCGCGTGAGTGTCGGTCAATTGGGATGAACTGCTGATGGACATACCCGCACGCCTTTGGGCCAGGCTTATCCTGTCGATGTGTAAGTACGGGTATGGGCGTAATGTGTCATGGCTATAAAACGTACAAGGTTGATGAAGATCTTGGGGTGACCGAGTGGACCGTGGCCTGGGCGATGTTTTCAGTCAGTACAATGGACTTCTCGATCTGTAGAGTAGCCAAATATATTCTCGCGTATCCAATTCACGATATGCGGCATGCATAAGATAACGATTTGCCAGGGAATGCACACGCACCTCCATCGCAAACAGCCTTGCGACCCTTGACCATACGAACAGGCTCCTCCGCAATCATGGCCATAGCACTGAGCGGTTGAGGCTGCAGCTCCATTATGGTTTGTTCGAAGCGTGCGCCGTCGGTGGGCGTCGGCCGCGCTCGCTGGTTGAGAGACCATTGGGTGGGGTAATTCGGCGACTGGGAGCCAGCGACCGTCCCCGGAGAGTTGCCTTTCGGCGTCTCGGCCGGAACCGAGGACGATGATGGTGAGGAGCTCGAGGCGGCGCGTGCAAGGCGGCGCAGAGCCGGGGTACGCAGTCGTGTGGCGAGCATGGTGGTCGTTGTCTAACGCCGCTCCCTGTCGTCCCGCTCACTTCCGGCGCGCGTGGGAACCGCGCTGCAGGAGCCACACTCAGCTACTCAGATGCTTTTCCTCTTTGGCCTCCAACCACCGCCTTCTATACAATGCGATTTGGTAACGCCAATGAGCGCATTTCATAGCCAACTTTTTGCTACACTAGCCAGACTCGACGCCGTTATGCTCCTGGCGCAAGTGCTCCTTGTACGCTGCGTTCGATAGAAACATCGCTCGACACCTCTGGCTCATGCTTCCTGGAAGAAACTCCATACACTCGTGCGCTGCGAGAAGTCGAAGTTGAGCGGAATGCCTTAACTATCTGCAGCGTCGACGGTGCCACTCACTGTCCATGGGTGGGTGCTCCGTCCAGACATGTTTATCGCGTTGCCAGTATTGGTTGTACTCTTTCCGACAGTCCCTAACTGGGCACGCGAAGACCCGCGAGCCCGTGGGTAACACAGCACGATTCGGACCCACTCCCTGGCTTGACGGATTCGGCCCGCTTGTCGGATTTCTGTTCTTGTACCTGTGGACGCACCCATGGATGAGTACGAAGCGCTAGAGCCAGTAAGAAAGCCATAGACCTTTCCAGTCTCTCCTCGGCAGTTAGGTGCTTTAGTCTCGAATGCTTGGGTAACTCCCTCGCCGACAAAAGATATTTCGTACAGCCAGGGATTGTGCATTTAACGGCTGTTGTCGAAGGTGAGAGGATGCTGTATGGGATTGTGTTGTCACTTACGGTTCTCATTTTCGTGATACAGAGTTATGTGCGCGATAAGGAGTGCTTCCCGCCGGAAAGTATTACCGCATGGCACGCAGGGGCACCTCCAGACATAACCCACTGACAACTTTGAGAACACGCTTGTATGTCAAACATAGGGCTTCCCGCTTACACTCTTCTGCAGGTGTGCTTCCACCCTCGTTTAATGCGGTCTCGCGTGGCGATGGCGCGCGGGGCTCTTCGTTGTAATTGTGTTCAGGCGATCCCCGGACCTCATCAGATGTCAATGTGAGAGAGCGTTCTGACAGTCAAAAGTCTCAGCGAAACGCCCACTATCAACGACGGGCAGCATTATTACGCGTATTCGATGAGAGAGCATCGTCGACTTCTCCCGGAAACGTATCCACGGTCTCAGCATCTTCCATATCTAAATCATCGTCATGTTCATGCACGGCAGGTGGGTGCACGTCCTCATCTTCTGGCGTGGGTTGCCTATCGTGACATTATGACTGAGTATGCGTTAATTTGGCCCTGGGGACCACCCACCGTGATAGTCGGCGGACAGTATCATATTGAGACCGGTTCGAAGGGTGCGTCTAATGGCGGTGTCAAGGACCGTCCATAATTGTCCGAGTAAAGAACCTACCACATCCAATCTTACGCCGCGTTCGTTGAGGTGCCGACTTCCGTGATTCTTCCAGAAACGTCGCAAAGCCTCGGTTCGCTTTTCGTTTCTAACGACAGATCGACCGTGCGCCCGGTAGTAGATGTTTGGAGAGTAGAGTCCTCGTTGAGCGTCGGTAAGATCTAAGGCATCGAAGCACTCGCCGCAGCCAGGGCAGTGCCATTGTAGACAGGCGTCCAGATACGGTGTCAGGATCATTCGACGGGTCAGCATGTCCACATCCTGAAAAGGGACACTTGGATATGGGACTCGTGCGATCTGACGAGTCGGACTGGGGGTGGATCTTGATGGCTCGCGCCTGTCGGCAGGATCGTTGAATGCCTGAGGAGCGGGTTGGCCGAACTCGTCTTGCGAGGCATAATCTTCATTGAAATCAGCTCGAAAGATATCTCCCTGAGGCCCATGAGGTCCGTCTGCCTCAGAGTCTGATTCGGAAGAGCTGGAAGATGAGTCGGAAGAGCTTGAAGGGATATCCCTCCAGTTACTTTCGTCCTAAAAGCCCTTGATGAATCACAGGGCTGCGGCCAAGAGCACGGATACCTACCATTGACTCGTCCTCTGCAGGCTCATCGGGAGTTGGGTACACCCTGCTACGACATCGCACCAGACGCCTGACATCTACTTTGTAGCTTTCTGTCGCGCTGGGGAGTCGATCGTACCCATCTCGTCGTGCCACGTTTGTATCCGTGCGACGTGCGCGGAACGTACTATCCGCGAACTCCAGCCAGCTCGGGATGTCGACAACATGTCGACGAAGACAGTGGAATTGCAAGATAATCCATTCAACGTGAGAGCCGAAAGCCCAAGAGACCTCTTTCTCGCCCAGAGTCCGCAGCTGACGCGGGAGTTTGGTAGGCGTTCCTACGATGAACTCCCCAGGTTCAGGCGCCTCGGGCGAGCGATTACCGCTGTCCAGGACCCCGAGTAGTCGTCCCCACCGTGATCCTTGATTGCCGCGATAGAGCTCAAGGTAACGGGAAATGAACCACTTTGGGGTTCTGAGCCAAACCGGGGTGTTCGGATAAAGGGCGACGATACTTGTCATGGTCAAGTAGACCTGGTATCGTCTCAAGTAGATCTCAGAGAGCTTAGCGGTATGCGCATGAAGACTTGAGATGGAGAAATGACGGTCCCTGCCCTCTTGTGAAAAGACGCAAAACCTCAGCACATAGTCATTACGCACCTATCGACAGTGGTAAGATCGAGCGCGAAGGTAACCTTCACTTCATCACCTACGATCGTTCAGGACAATCACGGTGGACCGTGACAGAATGCGACTCACGAGACAATAGAGGTACGAGCGGTAACTGTTTTCGCCCCTGTATGGTGATCACAAGCGGAACTTCCTCGTAGTTGGCCTTAGGTCCGTTTGGGAAGAGTACACTCAGAATAGCCGCCCTTTCTCGCTTCAAACGCTTGCACAGCTGCCCAACAATGAAGTCGAGGCATTCTGTAGTGAGCTGTTCCTCGTGTGTGACAGTAAAGTTGCCACGAATGTAGACAAGCTCGTTGCCATCGGAGAGGCGAGAATAACCGCGAGCGCTCAGAGGCCAAAGGCGACTGGAAGCGTTCATCTCCTCGGCCTTCGCATCAGTAGGCAGTATCACCACGGGCTCAATGATATCAAGGCTATCATGGTCTCAGTATCGCCTTACTCTCTGAATAAGACAGATGTGCGCGTACCCCACACACTCGTGCCTTTGATCGTCTAGCTTTACGGCGAACATCACATTCTTCAGCTCCAAAGGTCGAGATTTGGTCCATTTGCACTTCGCTGTCAAAGCTTCAGAGTCCAAGAAGGGCCCAAACGGCGACATCCTTTCGAGAGCTCGTCGTACATCGGACTTAAGGCCCATGATGGTGGTTGAGGTGGAAGCAGGGTGACGCGCCACACGAAGTGACATTGCGAAGCCACTCGCGCTTTCACGAATGTTCCTTCACATGGCGCGCTGTGTATGCGGACTAGCGTTTGGCGTTTGGCAGCCACTGAGTTCTAGAGCATCTTGAAGTGATCCCTCACATTCTCTTGCTTCCCTCGGCCGGAATGCAGCAATCGTCAACGCTTGCGACATGAGATACTCGCCGCGTGGGTCCTAAAT